TTCATCGTTTTGGGCCCCCAGCCCGTATCTACTCAGACCAAGGGCGAAACTTTGAGAGTAGGTTGATTCAACAGTTGTGCCAGCTCTACGGTATTCAGAAGAGCAGGACGCCACCTTATCACCCGCAGGGTAATGGCCAGTGTGAAAGATTCAATCACACATTGCACGACCTATTACGTACCCTGCCACCCACTGAAAAACGACATTGGCCCCACCACTTATCCCAGCTGACCTTTGCGTATAATACAACACCATATCAGACTATGGGTCACACCCCATATTATCTCATGTTTGGACACCATCCAAGATTGCCAGTGGATTTCCTGCTTGGAACTGGAGTGGGGGCCCAGGGCATTGGTACCTTGGAAGAGTGGATACAACAACATGAATGGAGTGTGAGGATAACCCAGGAGCATGTTCGGCAGAGAGCAGCAGCATTGACAAACCAGCAGAATCAGAGGCATAATGACACCGTGGATGATCCTGGACTGGAAGCAGGCCAGATGGTGTACCTGCGTAATCATGTACCGGGGTGCAACAAGATTCAAGACAACTGGAACCCTTGGGCACTGCAACATTGTATACTGTGGCCCCTGTAGATGAAGATGGACCAGCTCGTCAGGTACACCGCTCTGAGCTGAGGGCAGTCCCCGAGGGGTTGCAACCAAGAGCAAGAGGTGGTTCTCCCCTCTGCGGAACAAGTAGATGTATCTGTTGACCCTGACATCCTAGAGGACGGTGCCGAGGTAGGCGTGGTTGGCCTGTATCTGGATGAGCCTCAGGATGCCTATGGTTTGCCTCCTTCCTGGGCCCCTGCTGAAGTTGACACCACACCGGGGAATATGGCCCAAGCTTTGAGACGTTCATCCAGAGCTACAGCAGGCCAGCATTCCAACCCCTACCGGCTTCCCCGGGCGGTTGCTATCAGGATGGAAGAAGGGGTGCAGCCAGGTAGTGAAGGCTAATGTGTTTACCTGGGCTGCATCGTCGGGCCGCCGATTCATTTGGAGGGGGTGGATTGTAGCCTGTGGGTCATGTTTGGATTGGGGGCTGGTAGTGACAGCCATTTTTCTGTCCTGTGGTTCCCTCCCTCTTTTGCTTGGGCGCAGTTATGCAGTCCCGCTCTGCCGGTGTTGATAATTGGAGATTAGGACGGGCATTGATTGGGCCACCTATATATCACGTAGTTAGGAACACGAAGGTACGTGGGGTCCTCGCGGCAGCAGGGTATCTGATGCAGTTTGTGGTGTAGCAGCGTTTGGGCTGTCTCTGCTTTCAGGTTTACATGGCTGTGCTGCATTGCTAGTTGCTGTTCTCCGTACAGTGTGAATGTGGTGCTGCTCATAGCTTATTTATATGTATTTTGTTTTCCTCTAGCCTGTGCGCTATAGCGTAAGTGTTAATGGACACTGTATGTGAGATTGCTCTGTATGTCACAGGCTAGAGTAGGCTTATTTTTATTTTTGTATATTTTCCTTGTCAATTCCTCAGCCCCCTTCCTGTATCTTTAATTAGTAAGTAAAGTAAGTAAAATTTATTTATAAAGCACATTTAAACACAGCTATTGCTTACCAAAGTGCTGTACATCAATGATAAAATAATAAAAAGTAAATAAAAAGTAAATAAAAAATAAATGATAATAATAAAAATAATAATAATTGCATGTTATAACAAGCAGAACTTATCCAACAAAAATAGACATATTAGGACACCAGAAATAAGAGAATTACGGCTATAGGAAAGCCTGTGAATAGAGGTGAGTTTTTAATCTAGATTTAAAGATGGCAATAGAGGGGGCACATCTAATATCTGTGGGTAGCTGGCTCCAAAGGCGAGGAGCAGCCACAGCAAAGGCCCTATCACCTTTCTGTTTCAGACGTGACCGTGGCACATATAATAGTCCTGTGTTAGCGGACCTAAGAGACCGTGGGTCTGAATTTGGCTGGAGGAGGTCAGTAATGTAAGCAGGGCCCTGCCCATTTAAAGCAGTGTGCCCATTTAAAGCCCATTTAAACCTGGGCGTGGGTTGTACAGGGTAGCTTAATGCGTTTAAGGGAGATCACACTGGAAAGCTGGGTTTTCTAGTGTTTTTTGTGTTAACGTTTGCAGTGCCACATAGTGTGAAGCTCTGTTGTCCTTACCATTTAAAGTACCTGAGTATGGTGAGGGTTGCAGGGTGTTGGATTGAAGTGTACACTAGGATAAGCATGTTTGCACAGTCATGTGCAATTCCCAGCCTCCCTCCAGGGTGTCTACCCTCCCTGGGTTCAATAGGCCTCTGCCCCAATGTCTTGGTGATTTTGTGTTTGCTTACTGTCTTTTCCCCTCTATTAAGGTAGTGACCTACTTAACTGGTGACCAATCCAGCCACATGAGTATTTATTAAAGATTGTATTTTTATATTTTTGTAAAACCTGTGTTTGTATTTATTTAAGCGTTGGTCCCCTTGCTCTGGCACTTTTTTAGTCAGTGAATTGCAAGGGGTGGCGTAGTCCGGTACATTTAGGGGTGCCACACAATTAAGATAAATACAAGTTGGCCTAGGGTGATATAATGAGCCTCCTTGGTCTGGTACATGATGCATTGAAAAGAGGAACACACAAGAATTTTGCTCTCAGTCCACTGTGTACCGTCTGACAGCTCACTGTTTCTGTGCCACCAGTGTCAGTGAGGCACATGGCCTTGGCAAGGCTGATGTATCCAAATCTGTGCATGCATTGATTACATTTCTATTGCACCATGGGCACAACTACAAACAATTTCCAGTAGGAGGGGAAGCAGGCACAAGAGTCCAGGGAGTTGGGGGGAATGCAGGATTTATTCAGGGTATGAAACCCTCAGGAGCACGAAATATGATAATATGAATTTACCTTACTGAATTTAGGTCTATGTCATAATAGAGCAGTAAGAATCATGTAAATTAAGGTTAATTGTAACCATATATGAACATAAAAATGCAAGAGAATGATATGCAACCTGTGCACCCTCCCACACAATGCTGCATGATCACACACACACAACGTAAATTCTATGTGCTTTCAATGAAGTGCGCTTGTGCGGTTCAAGTGTCACACATCCTCTATCATGCTGATACTGAATATTCTAGTTCTTTCTCTCTCACACACACACACACAGCAGACACTATTAATAACACATTTGAACAGAATTAAGAATAGTCTAGGCCCAGAGACATTCAGGTGAATATTTAGCTGTTTAGATGTTACTTTTAGCTCTTAAAAAAATTACCAAGGTCTGGACCCTGGTGATCCCATAGCTGGGTACGGCGCTTTGTACCTGTTGAAAAGAGTTCTCTGCATTAGGTCTAAATGTCCAGGTAATATACAACCATCAAGGACATTTCAGGGACATTGTGGCCAAGTGGCCTGGGAGTACACTGATCCTTAGACCTGGTCCAGCTTTGGAGTGTGACAGATGGCAAAAGATGGTGTGTTTGCTGGTGGCTGGTTATTGGAAGACATCTTAGCTAACAGCTGCTGACTCCAGTGTTGAATCCCCAAACCGTGGCTGAGGAGAGGTATAACACTGCACACCAAAGACACACACTGCTCTAGATGGTGTATTGTGCATGTGAAAGATGTGATTCTGGTGCCTGCATAAGTCCTCGGGAGCTCTAAGATTTTGTCCTGAATGCTGCAGTGATGTTTTTGTTGTGTGGGGTATGCTGCACACAGAGTCGGGTAATTCAGGTCCAGACTAAGATTTTGTTTCAACCACCCAAGTGAGCATAGAGAGTCACAGTCACAGAGTATTCAACTGGTTGGTTGAAACAAATTCCTGGTCTGGACTTTTACTCTCTGGACCTGAATTACCCAACTTTGGCTGCACAACACTATAGGAATTGTTTTATTAGCATTCATTTTTGGTCACCTCCTCAATAAATTGTTTTAACTCTTCTTTTAAAGAAGTGTTGCTTCGTTTTCTGATTGCTTGTTGCCATTATTCTTTTTGTACAAGGGATCACCGTCCTGTTTTGAGCCCATTTATATATTTTTGACAAATAGGTTAATTTATTTTGGTTTTAATTTTGTGTGCAATTAGCATTGGGGCCAGAGCTATACAATATGCTACAAACTAAGAATCTAATAAGAGAGATATTCATATTAAAGACAAGTGCAAAAATAAAAGCATCCAAAGACACACAGGGAACCATCTATGGGAAAGCAGACAAAAACAAAGCAGGTCAGTTGTTGGATGGCTAGTTAGGGCTGAATATCACCTTTTGCTTGGGTGCTAACAGGGCTGGTAGAACTGAACAAATATCAAGCACTATCCTAAGAGTGTTCAACCCCTAGAGGGAAACCAAGTAGGTGCTGAGAGCTGCACATGTCAGACATAATATGCGGCATTCCAGATTGGGTGAAATTAAGGGACCATAAATATTTAATGGAAAGTATTCATAATACTAAAAGTGCCACAGAATGCATTTTTTTTTTTTTTACCAAATTGTTCTTTGGTGCCTACATAGTCAAAAAAATATCATGCAGTGATTTTACAGGCCCATTTACCACCCCTATGTTTTGGCCCTAGAATGAAAGTCTGTTTTCCCTTATTTGGTCTGCTCATTAATATGTGCATGAGCTTTGCTCTGATTGGCTCGTTTACAGTGAGGCACTGCGACAGCTCACACATAACGAACAAGATCAAAAGGGGCGACATCCCCGTCACAGCCTCATGCAGCCTGCCATTTTAGCTGCTGTCCTCCGCCTCGTTCTTCACAATACCTGTGTAACTGTTTAAGCCTGAATGTGCATGCCCTTTGAGCTTGAAAGAGTGTGGGCATATGTTACGATTGGGGGCATGGTTAAGACGATTATGTAATAATTTAGGGATTTCAAAACAGCCCGTTTCACTTCCTTTTTTTCATATTCAGGAATTATATTTGAAAGAGAGGACAATATATATTTGCAATTCATGGTATTTCATTTCCATGTCATGTAATTTCTCCAACTCTCCCTTTTCAGCTATGCGGAGGTAAAGTCAGATTTTCATTCTATAGCACCTTTAAAGGAAAAACAAGCCAAATGTATCAAGGAGATTTATTATTTTGAATTGTAATTTACCATTTGATTGATTTTAATTAAGCTGCTTTTCTACCAGCATTTTTCAGACTGTTTTTCATGTATTTCACTGTTTTCACCTGCATTCCATGACACAGATATAATTGTAAAATACTGTAAGATATGTCATTTCAGACAGCTGTTAGAATAATGTGATGCTACGGTCAGAATTAAAAAAAAGGCTTATTGGAATAACTTCCATAACAATCACTGACTAATAAAATCCTGTATTAACATTAATATTTACTGAATTGTAATTATTTATTCTGTGGACATTCTCATATGTTAGATTCACCTTAACAGAATTTACTTAAAATTAGTTAGAACGGTTTACTTAGATTAAGTTTAACTTAAGTTTCGTTCAATTAAGTTTAAGTTTAGTTAGAACTTTAAATCAGTGAATGTCCATGGCCCCTCCCTTCTGAGTCACATGATCAGCTTCTCATCCTTTGCTCTCTTGCCATCTGACAGAGTCCACATAGAGGCACACAAGACATGACAACCCAGTCACCACATATAGATCCCTAAGGGAAGAAAAACAAAATGGTTAACAAACACATCATGTGTAATACTCTGTAATATTTAATATACATTACATACAGCAATTAAGCTATATCAAGTATATGAGATCGTTTCACCTGTTTCTCAGAAATGTAGAGAAAGGCACACATTAAAACAGGAAGCAAGACATTGACTGTTCCTGTAATATTTTTCTTGTCTTTCTTTTTTGAAGACACACCATTATTTTTTAATGCAAGGCATCAATTTAGGAGGCTTGGATTTTATTTGTACTGAAATCCACTTACAGAGATTCTGTACTTGTCTCGGATGCTGGTTCTTAGGGCAACTAATGCTCCGGGCAGGAAGACCAGGCAGCAGGTTTCCCCATGGTCCTCTGCTACCTTACAGCCCAGGACGCAGGGGATGAAGGCTCCACAAAGGCCTGTTCGGTACACAGAGCAGAGCCATGTCCATACAGCTACTGCTCTCTCATGAAATACAGGCCAGTGGTGGCTTAATGGTTATGGACACGCACTTATAATTGAAAGACTGTGGGTTTGAATCCCCAACCAACAAGGCACCACTGAGGGACCCTGAGCAAGGTACTGGCTCCAAGCACTGCTCCCTGGGTGCCTGGGTGCAGAATTAGCTGTTTCCTGCTATGTCACATTGTCACATATGGGTTAAATGCAGAGAACACATTTTGTTCTTGTGTCCTGTGGTGTGTCAAAAATGACAATTAATCACTAAATAAAAAATATATATATATCCATCCACAGTCATTTCCATCTGCTTATTCATTTTTAAGTTTTCAACTTTACAAGTACAGTTGGTATCATAATTTTACTTAATATTTGCAGTCAGTGCTACTGATTATTAATTATGGGGGCGTCATTAAATAAAAAAAATCTCTGATACGTTTTTATCTTACAATACTGCAGATGCAATGTATACATCATTCACTAGTATTTTTGTTAAAGAAAAAAATCCAAAAATTTTACGTTGACGCTGTCGGTCCAGCATTATGGGCTTCGGTGTCCGTAACAACTCGATAAATGAGCACGGATCTTCAAGCCTTCATGGCGGATGCGCGTGTTTGGCGTGCATGTCTCGATCCCTAATGCAACGTGAACGCGTATGTTCTGCCTACAAGTCTCCATTCCGAATACGAACGTGTACTTTCCGTATGTTTGTCTTCATGCCGCATATGCGTGTTCAGCATGCATGTATTCCATCATCTTAATAATGGCATTAATGACCCCTCATAATTGATATTATCACACTGTATGAAAACATTTTTGTATTTTTTTTTTCTTCAAATAGCTACGTAGCGTGAGTATATGACAGTTTCCATCCCGACTGCCGGCAGCGCATGCATCCCCGCTCTTTCATTCGTCTTGTGCTCAGGCTGTCACGACACGCCTGCGGGAAGCAGCTGCCGCCGACCAATGCCCATGAATCACACTAGATATACAGTATAAGCACGACAATAACTGCAATCCAACGCGAGGTATTGCTTCATGCATTGGAAAACACTCCTGCCCTTCCTCCCCTCGCTCTTCTTCCCTGTGAGTTCCTCGTGTGCTCGGACGGATTCCCTAGTTGCCGAAACTCTGGCCTGCAACCACGAACCTGGATCCCGACCTTGTTTCAGCCGTTGCTTTCTGATCTCTTGGATTTCAACCCTGTCTGCATGACCACGTCTCTGCCTGATCCATATTGCCTGTCACACTCTGCCTGGTTAGTAAAGGCTCAGCAGTTAGTCCATCAGCGGTCCAAGTGTGTTCATTACACAGGCTACTGCACAGTATACATTTATATCCGTTTGTGTAGCAATAATGAACTAAAATGGCGATTAAAATGTTAAAAACACCAAACAATATGATGTAAAGATTATTTTATTTTACGGTATACTACACAAGGATCATTTTTGCATTTAAAACAAAGGGCCGACATAACGACCGGTCAGTCAGAACCAATCGCAGTAGTAAGTAGACGACGACCTTTACAAAGACGGGTATTTTCAACTACCAGGTGTTTCTGATTGGTGTTTTCTGCTTGAATACTCTGGGGATGGATGTTAAAGTGTTGAAAAATCCTTCATGTCATACAATATTTTAGACATTTTAATTAAAATGCATCAAAGCACTTTGGTTCTCCGACAGATTTTTTTGTTGTAACCCTTCTAATTTTCACAAAGCACTCGTGAAGTACTATTGGTTTACACCAAATCCTGAAACCTTATTGTGATTTGACATTACATTGTTAAAAATACAGATTTTCATTTAAACTTTTAACATCATATTTCACATTTTTAAATTAATTTGCTTTAAAAGTATCCTACAGCACAAATATTAAGTACTGCTGAATGAAATAGCTTCATTGTAGTTAGCTATTAATCATATTAATCATAAGTAGCTTGTAGCTTGAAAAGCTATCCTTTTAAAAGCAACTTCCCCAACACTGCATACCACTTTCAGGCCACAAAATGAAGTGTGAAAATCTGTCTTTTGTCAGTAACAAATGTCTGTTTTACATATTGTTTTTCTTGCAATGGCTTCCTACTTTTAAGCTCCCTCTTTTATTTTATGATTCTGTAGTAACTCACAGATGCCACAGTCTTGACAACAGTCACATAAGTTCGAGCTCCATTCTGAAGACTGGGAGGTCATGGTGTAGCTGGTGATGGTGACCTGAGGCTGGCTGGTCATCACGTTGGCTTGGTACTCCATGGCTGTGGGACTGAATCCTGCTGGAAATTAAACTGTGAAAATGCAAGAATGCCTTGAGTGCAGCAGGGTTTGTACTGAAATCCGCAGACAAGCTGGCTTCTAAGCTACATGTTTAATCTACTTTTGCAATATCAGTGTCAGTAGATGGTTTTGGTGTTGTTTGTATGTTTTATTTAGAGACATTATGCTACCCACCAAAGCATGTACTCTGAAAAACACAAACATTAATCCATTTTCAGTGTATGAGAGTTTCTGAGATACTGAGGCTGTTATGGAGATATGTGGTTTAACACTTTTTAATTTAATGTAATTTAATTTATGTAGCATATGCATTCAAAGTGACAAGTTAGGCAAATAGCACATTACAAGCACATAGCTGTGTAAGTGCAGCTAGGCTGAGCTTCCAAATAATGTCCCAGCACAGATGTAAGTAGTATTGGAGCAAAAGCTTTATATGATGTGATACACACTGCACAACATGAAGCATTCACATTAACAGACTGCTGTTTCAAAGTGATCAGGTTATCTCATCAGTACACTTCGGCATCACATAAATAACATATAGTTCCCACAGGAAAATCAGACATAACTACTGGGCAATATAAGGTCAGCACAGCCCAGAACACTAAGTAATTTAAATGTTACCGACTATTTAAGTGCTGCCTGACTGATGCAGTGTGGCTGAATTGATTGGAATATTCACACTGCCTTGCTCTCTACACATCAACATTCAGCTGTGGGCTCATTGTGGCCATGTATTGGATAAACAGCTGTAGAAAGGAATGGATAATTTAGTATTCACCAATTTTTAGTGTAAACATAAAATGCTACTATAAAATGCAAAGTTTTCTCATATGGCTTTAAATCGTAGGTTCAGGCAGAAATATCTCCTCCAGAACATAACCACAATGTTTTTATACAACTTGCCATCAAACTTTGACAAGATGTGAAAAACTTATCTCATTTACCCCATATTCTCTATATATTTTTTTTATGTCTTTCTCTGTTTCTGGACCCTATGCAAATGAAAAGAGTGGAAATTCACTTACCTACCTGGTCAAACACTTTGGCTGATGAAACAGGATCACCTTCCAAGATACATCCAAATAAACCAAGAATTAAGTGCTCACAAGTGACGCCCAAAACGCCCAAAACACTTATACCCAGAGTCTCCATAGAAATAAGATAAGCCATATTAAATGTTTGACTTTGGGGCGTGTGTGATTTCTGCTCATTGAAAATGCCACGTACCTTTGGCCATATTATTTCTGAAATGGAACAAGAACTTGACATTCTATCCATTGCCCTGTTTATAATATACTCCTTTTGAAATTAGTCAGGAGCAGTTTGTATGAGTTACACTGTGTGTTGAAGGTGTGGATGTGTGGATTGCTTTTAGCATATTGTTAGAACTTCTCTGCGATGATGAGAAATAGTACAGGCAGTAGAAGCTCTAAGCTTGGTTTTTGTACTATTTCTATGCTCTGATAAATTTTACACCCATCTACCTTTTTTTAAAGTCTCCTAAGTGGTAATTGTGTCTTATTATTGTTGATTGACAAACTAAAAAACAGAATACCTTTTTGTGCACTTCCATCCAAGAAATTTAAATTTAAATTCCTTTAAAATGAATTTTGACAGTTTTTTTGTCCATCCATCTTCTATAAATCCACTCATCCACTACGCTTATCCTGGATCCTATGCCAGAATACACAGGCAGAGGACACCCTGGATAAGATGCCTATGCATTGCAGGGCACATGGACAATTTAGAAATACCATTTATTATAATTATATGTTAATTGATAATAGATGTGTTTATTTTTTGATCCCTGTAGGGAAATTCTATTTTGCACCTCCAGTGACTTGCTTTTTGTAGAGCAGTAGCATAGCACTGCCCAGAGAGCTAGGAGTTAAGGGCCTTGCTTAAGGACCTGCAGATATGCTAAGGCTGGGCTTAAACTGATAACCTTCTGATCAGTGAGGCTTAGCCCACTGAGATATACACTGCTCCCCCCCATTGTTTTCAGACTGCAGGAAAAAAAGAAGGGGATATGCAAACTCCACACATACAGAAGCAGGATTTTGCAAAAAAAACCTTTGGGACAATCAACTTCAATCAGAAATGCATGTTTCAAAATAATATGTGATTCTCTGTGTATGGTGTGTATGTAACAGGATAGCCTGCTCAGTGATTCTTTACAGGGCTGGGTCTGTCCCAACACACCACCACTGCTCACTGTGTGGGACCGCACTGTGTGACACTGGCTATAGTGGTGTGTATGTAACACGGTAACCTGCTCAGTGATTCTGTACAGGGCTGAATAAAGTTTAACGGTAAAAGGCATTTGTAAACCTTAAAATCATACATATTTGTTCCTGTCTGTTGTAAGTAGGATGGTCTGGCCTACGCATAATTTCCTATTTGTGTCACCAGCTGTTCCTGCCCTTACCCTTGAGTCACAAAGCACTTCTCCTATCACCTACAGTAGTTAGGACACACCCACTTTAACTCTGCGCAGTGGGATATGTTGGGACCCTTCAAGACTTAGAAAAAGAAGTATACATTTCTAGACCTCATTTGATGGGGCCTTTGAAATGGGACAGCTTTGTTGCACCACCCTGACACTTTTGGTCTTTGAACGCAGCCTTAGAAGGATGCAGTCCCTGATTTCAGCCCCTGAATTTGGACACAGCTAAAGTCAGCACAGAGAGGTGGGGCAGGGGGTATGGGGGGTAATTGAGCTTGGTTATGGTATAAGGAGCCTCACATGTGGACCAAATTGCAGGTTGGATAAATGTTTCTGCTAAGCAAATTTTCTTCCAGCGCAGAGCCCCTGAGGACCATTCCAGAGCTTTTGAGACTTACAAAAGGACAAGTTACTTATCTGTTATTTCTTCTGCGGGTGAAATTGTTGCTGCTACTGTGTTAATGCGCTCAAGGACTTGACATCCATCTGATATCGCTTGGTGTCCATCCATCTGCACATCAGACTGCTTATAATGTCTTCACTGATCAAAAATACTGCAGTACACATGATACAAGACAGACCAGGGCTGTTAATTAATATGTGTACTTGATCATTCTTGCGTTCTTGTGTATCCATTTCACATCATCTTCCATTGTTGAAGCATAGTTCCAATACTCAAGAACAGAAGTACAGAGGATGTTAAAAATCCCTGGATGTTGGACTTGCCCCATCCCAAATATCAAGGATGCATCAGTTGCATCCTCACCAAACGAGACCAATCCCATGGTTCATTACGTGCCAAGTTCGTTCTTGGGATGCAAGTTAGCAAGACTGATCTTGCCAAGACTACAAGTATGATCTTTGCATTCTTGGGGTTGAGATATACTCCTAGTTTTGGGTAAACGGCACCATGTTTGTATTCCTGAAGTGGCTTCACTGAGGGCAAAATGTCAGCATGAGCCAGTTGTGGAATAGGACTCTTCCAACAAAAATACATATCTCACAAATGGAATATCACTGAAAGAAAATTTATTCTGGAGACTTCACAAAATCCAACAAACTCCAGTTGGGTCCTAAATATATCCATGTAATCACCCCAGTCCTGCAGAACTAAATTGCCAAACAGGTTAGAATTTCACTTCTCTAGGTGTGTTTTAAGGGTTTCAGAGCCCAAAATTAAATTGAAGCTAAATTCATATAATGACACTAAGTAGTTAGCAGTTATCATTAGCTTCCGCAAAATGATTTAGTGATTTATTGGTTTAGTGCTATCGAATTAAACTTTGGAGTTAGTGAATTAGTAGTTATCAAAGCTAACTTTTTGGTTAGCTGTGCTGTCATGCCCCGCTCCGTCCGATCCTAATGTGTGCCACGCCCCCTCGTTAACCTCATGTGGAATCCCAGTGTTTTACAGCTGTTTCGGATTGTTGTCATTAGTTCAGTGTATTTAGTCCGCGTTTCCGTTTGTTTCCCCAGTCCGGTCATTGACGTTGTAATGTTGCGTGCCTTGTGCTCTGTGTTTTGGAATTAAACTCCGTATTCCCCGATCCCTGGCTCCCGTTCGCCTGCTTCCCCGCTCCGTGCCGCACGTAGCGTGACATGTGCCCCCCACTGCCAACTTCCCAGTCATTTTAACATTCTTATGGAGAAAACTCTACTACAACTGCTGATTTTTTTATGACCTTGTACAGGTACATCTCAAAAAATGAGAATATCGTGAAAAAGTTCAATATTTCTTGACATTCCTTTCAGAAGGTGAAATTCATATATTATATACTGTAGATTCATTACACATAGAGTGAAATATTTCAAGCCTTTATTTCTTGGAATTTCGATGATTATGGCTTACAGAAATAAAACCCAAAATTCACTATCTCAGAAAATTACAATATTGTGAAAAAGTTCAATATTGGAAAGTCATGGTGTCACACCCTAATCAGCTAATTAACTCAAAACACCTGCAAAGGTTTCCTGAGCCCTTAAATGGTCTCAGTCTGGGTCAGGAGTCTACACAATCATGGGGAAGACTGCTAACTTGACATCCTCCACAAGGAGGGTAAGCCACAAAAGGTCATTGCTAAAGACTCTGGTTGTTCACAGAGTGCTGTATCCAAGCATATTCATAGAAAGTTGAGACAAAAAAAGTGTGGTAGGAAAATGTGCACCAGCAACAGGGACAACCGCAGCCTTGAGAAGGATTGTCAAGCAAAATCCATTCAAGAATTCTAAGACACGGGTTACAAATGTCACATTCCTCGTGTCAAGCCATTCCTGAACCAGGGACAACGTCAGAAGCGTCTTACCTGGGCTAAGGAGAAAAAGTGCTGGAGTGTTGCTCTTTTCAGATGAAAGTAAAATTTGCAAATCATTTGGAAATCAAGGTCCCAGAGTCTGGAGAAAGAGTGGAGAGACACAGAATCCATGTTGCTTCAAGTCCAGTGTGAAGTTTCCACAGTCAGTGATGATTTGGAGTGCCATGTCATCTGCTGGTGTTGGTCCACTGTGTTTTCTGAAGTCCACAGTCAACGCAGCCATCTACCAGGAAATCTTAGAGCACTTCATGCTTCCTTCTGCTGACAAGCTTTATGGAGATGCTGATTTTATTTTCCAGCAGGGCTTGGCACCTGCCCACACTGCCAAAGGTACCAAAAGCTGGTTCAACGACCATGGTGTTACTGTGCTTGATTGGGCAGCAAACTTGTCTGACCTGAACCCCATAGAGAATCTATGGAGTATTGTCAAGAGGAAGATGAGAGACACCAGATCCAACAATGCAGATGACCTGAAGGCTGCTATCAAAGCAACCTGAGCTTCCATTACACCTCAGCAGTGCCAGAGGCTGAACGCCTCCATGCCACGCCGCATTGATGCTGTAATTCATGCAAAAGGAGGCCCAATCAAGTATTGAGTGCATAGGAATGAACATACTTTTCAGAAGCCTGACATTTCTGTTTAAAATATCCTTTTTCTTAATTGATCTTATGTGATATTCTAATTTTCTGAGACAGTGAATTTTGGGTTTTATTATCTATAAGCCATAATCATCGAAATTCCAATAAATAAAGGCTTGACATATTTCACTCCATGTGTAATGAATCTACAGTATATAATATATGAATTTCACTTTCTGAAAGGATTGTCAAGAAATATTGAACTTTTCCATGATATTCAAATTTTTTGAGATGTACCTGTATATATTTTGTTTTGTTGTAATGAACCTTGTGCTCACTTGTTATGATTCCTGTCTTGTTGCCTGATTTTTCATTATTTTCTATAATTTCATTGAGCTTAAAGGGTGTGACCGTAGACACCACCCACATGAAAATATGGCGTGTGTAGCGGATTGAAAAGCTCAGCAATCAGATTGTGGTTTTGAACAACCCAGTTTCACATTGCAAAGCCTCTTGTCTTCTTATTGAAACAGGAAATTGTGGACATGTTTTATATATCATAAAATTAAGGCTTAAAACTTAATTCATTATATGATTACTGCTGAAGTGCCTATATTACTTTTTTATGCTTTCTTTTTATTTAACATGATTATCAACTAGTGGTCATTTACTATTGTAGCAATAACAACAGTAAGTTAGTAACCATGAATGATCTTCTTAATCTGTATCAAGATTCTGTGTATTTCCGTGTATATGATCTAGAAAAATCTGCACTGTATATTTCTACATTTAAATGAATTTCATTTTCATTCAGCTTAATATTGCTGCACTGTATAATTTTGTTCTCAGCAGCAAATTTATCTGTATTTATCTACATGTCCAAAATATACATTTTATGTAAACCAGACAGACACAGAGTAATGACTAAGGCACAGATCCCTGTGATTCTCCACCACTTCCACTGGGACTCCTAAAATTTCACATTTGCTCATGCATGATAATTAACAATCATTAAAATAAACAGCAGTGTACATCAATGATGCCTTTTTCACCATATTAGAAGTAACAGACTATAAACACGCTCAGGAGCACTTTATTGCAGGGGCTAACCCTGGACCCTCTGCTAAATCGTGCCTCAGGGTGCGATGCAAACAGCACAAAACAAAGCAAACCATAAGCTGAACCGAACCGCAAGCACAAACTCAGTGTAGCAGTTTTACTTCCTGAGATCAGACACTTTGTACTTTTCCGGCCAAACTTCACCACTCTACCCTCTTTTATCTCCAAAATTTGGAGTCATTTAGCCCTTGTACCATCTTGCTGGCTTTGATGCAAGACATGCTTTTGCATGACAGATTCTCATCAGAAAGAAGTAAGAAATAACCATACAAATCGCAAAAGAAAAGTCTAAACAGCAAAATCCCGAAACCATGACAGCTTGCTGGGTTCTGCAGATTGATTAAACACCGATAATATTGTGTTATCTGTTCCTCACTTGTTTAATAAAATCTGTTGATTACAAACCAATATTTATGACTATAGACACAGTGGTTGTGGAGGGGGTGTATGGTTTCTTCTTGCTGTCTAACTTCCTTATTTTAGTACCCTGTTGAGCTGACAAAGAGCATAGAGTTTGTCTGGCAAGACACATCACTTTGCAGCTATAGTGTTGTGCGAGACCTCCTGCCAAAATGGCTGAGCAGCAGCTCTCCACGATGACCCCGGAGTACTATGATGAGGTGAGTAACCCTGAATCTGTCTCAGGATCTGCCTGATAAACAATGCCAGGAAGGGTGGGCATTTGGAAAAGCAAGAATAGTTTATAAAACAGTTGTCCTAAAATCTAATCATAATGTTTAAATGCTTTACATGTTTTTTTATGCAAAATGTTTTAAATAAATGTGCTGCATTATTAGATGACACCATCACCAAAATCATCAACCTGATATTCAGTGTTAATACCAAAAATGAAAACATTTTATTTCTCTATCAAAAGAAGCCCAATCAGGAATTGCATGAGATGCATCAAGGATTAAACATATAATCTGGCAATAGTTTTTAAACAAAAATAAACCTGATTATGCTTATGCATAGCATGGGATTTTACAGCTGCAAGTAACCATGTTATATATATTGTGTTTTGATTGTTTTTTGAGACTGTATAAACCTGAATGCTGTGTGTATACCCATATAGAAAAGATTTTAAAAACAAAATATGACTCTTATGTGTTTTACCCAAATCATATAAGCTCTTTATATAACACTATACAATATACAATGCATATTAACTTAATGTGTCATTAGACATATATGTAAAATACATATGAAATTACTGTACTGTCAAACATATATGTCCTGCATTCGTGTACAATCCACATTAAATGAATGTGTCATTAGTCATATGTTTTGTGAAATATATACACTTTACATAGATGTCTAATGCATATTAAATCGATGTACTGTCAGAGATACAAGTCCTATATAACATCCACCCATCCATTATCGTAACCGCTTAATCCCCACTGGGGTCGTGGGGGGCCCAGAGCCTATCCCGGGAATAACGGGCATAGCCAGAAACCAACCCTGGGCGGTCACCAACACACCACAGATCCTATATGACATGTACAATGCATATTAAATTAATGTTTTGTCAGTATTAGTTTTTAATTCTTTGACTGAACTCAAATTAATCATGGACAGTGGTTCCACATAACTAGATTGAGTTTTGTGAGACGGAAACATTCTTTTTCATTTTATGTGTTCACTTTGTGTTCTGAGAATATAACATAGTTGAGTTAATCTCACTGATTTTTCTCATGTCTAATTAAACCAACTGAATGTGGGAAGATCATAGATGTATTTCATCAGAATAATATAAAAAAATATATAAAATTTTAAGAAACAACAAACAATAAAAATATACTTTCTACTACAGCCTTGTGTAGTAGAAAATGGTAAAATGTAATGTAATGTAAAAGTATTATATTTTTCGTATAGATTTTTCCCTTGAATGCCTCACATGTCAAGTGTGTGTTTTGGTATGAATATGGCCATAATCATACAAATAAAAACATTGAATTGTAGTGAATATATAATAAACATCATGTGTTGTTATATATAATTGAAATAAGAAAAATTCTTGATAGCCTTATACAGTATGAACCATGCTGTTTATTTTCATATGGGTATTGCTACTTCTTGGCTTTATATACAGAAACTTAGTGTTGTCTAAAGGAAGAGTAATTCTGAAAAAAACACCATCCCAGGCCAGGCAAAGTGTGATTCTGAAAACATCCCATGTCCCTCATGACTAAAATAGTGAGGAGCTACAATATGTAAACTTTTTTCACACAATGTTCATGCTGATCATTCTAAATAATTATAATGCTTGCAATTTAAAAGTATCCATTTTGATATACAGTATTTAAGCTGTTTTTGAGGTGCCATTGCTGAGTCAGATTATAAGAGCTTAATTTGTTTTGTTTGTGTCCTTGGCTAAGCAAAAAGCCGTCGGTTTTCTTCCACTAAGTGCTGATTTATCTGAAGACTTCATGAGCTCTTTCTGCTCTGCTTTCAGGACGACGATTACCTAAACATGACAGATGATCACACATCATCTTATGCCACACCTTGCAGCTACCAGATCACGTTTGAGTTTGCAGAGACCTTCATTCCAGTGGTCTTCATCCTGGTCTTCGTCATAGCAGTGGTGGGCAATGTGCTAGTGCTGTGCGTAGTGCGGCGCTACCGGCGGTCTCGTGAAGGTCCCTGTTCATACTCTCTCACTGACACCTTCCTGTTGCATCTGGCAGTGTCAGACTTCCTGCTCGCCATGACACTTCCCTTCTATGCTATTCAGTGGGCAAAGGGGTGGGTGTTCGGAGTAATGGGCTGCAAGATGATCAGCGCCATCTTCTCTGTCAACCTCTACAGTGGAATCCTGCTCCTGGCATGCATCAGCTTCGACCGCTACCTGGCTATCGTGCATGTGGTAACTGCAGGGTGGCACCGCCGGAGCTGCCATGCCCAGATGGCTTGTGCTGTGGTGTGGACAGCTTGCCTTGGATTAGCTTGCGTGGATGTCACATACCAGACTGTCATTCCACTGAAACACTCGAATCGTCAAGTCTGTTACCTCGTTTTCCCTGAGAAGACAAATTGGCACGTGGTGCTGCCAATGGTCAACCTGATCTTAGGCTTTGGGCTCCCCCTGCTGGTCATGCTGTACTGTTACATCAGGATCTTCCGCTCCTTGTGTCATGCAAGTCGTTGGCAGAAGCGCAAGTCAATGCGTCTCATCATCTCTTTGGTCTCCATCTTCCTGCTCTGCTGGGCTCCTTACAATGGATTCCGGCTCATTGAATACTTGAATCGCTTGAACCTGTTTCAACTGGGATGTGAAATGAATAAGGCGCTGGACATTGGGACCATGATATCCGAGAGCTTGGGACTTACACACTGTGCCTTCAATCCCCTGCTTTATGGATTCGTGGGGGTGAAGTTCCGAAAGGAACTGCTGATCATGTGGAAGGGGCTTCTGTGCTCTCTGGGCTACCAAGGTCTGGAAGGATGGGGGATGAACCAGCAGAGACGCAGAAGATCTGGTACCCTCAGCACAGATAGCGAAAACACGTCCTACTTCTCTGTCATCATGTAATTCTGCGATTCATATCTGAGAAAGGATGGAGGTCTGACAAGACAAAGAGCAACAAACATAGAACAGGGAACAAAGCTATGGAATGCAGAAGTGAAAAAGCAAGAAACACCTAGGACAGCAAAATAAAAAAAACAGCAAAAAGACATCTAAAAAAATTTCTAAATTCCCACAAAAATGCAGAGCAAAGGGAAAAATGCAGAGTAGTGCAGAGGAAAAAAAACATCTGCATTACTTTTTCATTTTTGCAGGATATTGAATTGTAGCAAGTACTTCTCAGGTTAAATAATTTTTTACGGATCTAGTATCGGCATTTAATAGTATTGTATATTGCATCAGGCCATGAAATATGTAGCAGCATCCAGCTGGTGTCAAAAACACCACTGGTCTCCTGAAGGATTCATTCACGCTCTGCTCGTTCGGCCCTCCTGTGTGCCAATCCCCCCTCGTTAACCTCATGTGAAATCCCTGCGTTTACCAGCTGTTCCTTGTTTCTGTCATTAGTTCTGTGTATTTCAGTCCGCATTCGAGTATGTTTCCCCAGTCCTGTCATTGAAGTCATTGCTGTTTTTGTGCCTCACTTTGTTGTTTTCCTTAATAAACCTCTCCTTCTGTATTCTCCGTCTTCCCGCTCCTGATTCCCCGGTCCGTGCTCACCTTCGCTCACGACATCATGCTTGCAGCTTATATTTTTGGTGCTGTATCATTCTCATGGTGATGACAGCCTTTGACAGACAACAAAATTTACATTTACTGGACTTCCAATCAGTGGCCATTCACTGTAAATGGGAAACAGGCTGTGGTTTACTGTGACTGTTTATTGTGACAGTTTATTGTTGACAACAGTAACTGCAATTATTGTTATTGGGAATACCAACAATGTTGTATTTAGACATCACGCATAAATGTAAAGGGAATCATGGTGTGTAATGCCTTTTAGCTATAAATACATTGCTTGACTAAGATTTCCAGTCCCAGAAGTGTATAATAATTTCAGCTATGTGACCATTGTATTCTGCGATTCTAGAGGCGCTGTTTCATGTGTTGTTGGGAATATTGTTGATTTATATTCATGTTAACAACATCATAATGTTCTTTTACAGTACTTCACCATAGTCCTGGTATGTGCAGGCTTTTCAGGACTTTTTAGGCTTAAGCAGCCTTAGTCCTGAAATAGAAGGCATACATTTTTGTATACTAGGGCTAAACGATTTGGGGAAAATATCTACTCACGATTTTTACAACAGATTTTTTAAAAGTTAAGCTTCAGTTCAATATTCAGTGTGTAATATATTTAAACCATATGACACAGCATTACGATGAGATACCATCAAAATATTAATTGGTCTATATTTTAATGTAAGGATGAGAACTTTTATTAAATACGTCATTCCGGAACAGTTTCTAAACAAACCAAACTTTTTATATTGTCAAATATAAAAATGTAGAACTACTCTCACAACAGTTTTAAACCCTGGGTCACACATGGCATATAATGCATAAACTAAAATCGCAGCCTTTGTGATTTACTAATCACATTGTTTCAAATCATGATTTCAATTTGAAATAAATTATTCAGTCCTATTGTATACATTGAAGTCCAGCATCTCATGCAGAACACCAACCAAAGATTTTAAGTGGCTGACATAAAAGGAGCTTTAATATTAACTCAAAAAAGGACAGGAAATAAGAGCAACAAGGGGTCTACACAAAGACCAGTGAAACACAATGGGATTAACAAAAGCACATATGCAAGGTAAGAGCACACAGAATCAACATATTAACCATGAAAAAAAGCACACAGCAAATACAAAGATCAACAAGAGAAAAAGGAAAGTGCATGCACCTATATACACTGCATGGTTAACTATAGAGCTGAATGATAGACAGGTGTAAGCTATCACTGTCATTAACAATCACTTCAAAACTGAAATGGGGTGGTCAGCAACACCTACTGACCAAACAGGGAAATGAAGAGCAGAACGGGCAGGGCAGGGCCCAATACTTACATTATCATCAAGCTAGATTGTATGGATTGTAATGGTATATTAAGGCAAAAGATTAATCTGTTCAAAAGACTTTGAAAATTTTCTAATTGAATTCCTTAGCATGGAGCACTGTATGCATTTTCTGTAACGTAATTAGACCTATTCTAACTTTTTCAAGGCATCATCATTTACTTTTGTCATTCCGTGATCTTTGTATTTCTTAGTGTTGTCAGAGAAGTCATGGCAGGAAAGAACAATATAAAATTTTAATAAATCAATTTTAAAATCAACATTCGGAAAATATGGAGGTGACTTCCAGAATTTCTGAGCTCCAAAACATGCCAATGTTGGGTCTTATTACCACGTTTCTTCATTTTATTAAATTTTATTGATTTATCTCAATTTTACATTTTTTTGCAGTATATATAAAGGCATATTCCAGATAAATAAATGTTTGAAAATAACACTATTGTCACGCCCGGCTCGTACAATCCTAGTGTGTGCCACGCCCCCCTCGCTACCTCGTGTTACTTCCAGATTGTAATCACTTGTTGCTTGTTAAGTTCAGCCTGTCTTGTGTATTTACTTAGTCCGCGTCTAAGTCAGTATCCCCCAGATCTGTCATTGTTTAATGTCATGTGCAGTGGTGAGGTTTACTGTTCGTTGCTGTCTGCCCTGAATAAACCCCCATGTTATTGTATTATAGAATAGGTCTATATCTCCTCTAAACCTAGCTGCTCCTTTTCACCATCTTCCCTCTCAGACTGTCTAATGGAGATTAAATCATGGTTCTCCTCTAACTTTCTCAAACTCAATAGCAATAAAACTGAAACTCTACTCGTGGTACAACTTCCACTCTATCCAATTCCCATAGTTTTTCCATCAATATTGATAATTCTGCTATACACCCCTCCACCCAGGTTAAGAGTCTGGGCGTCATCCTAGATAGTACTCTTTCATTTCAGTCACACATTAGTCATATCACCCGGTCTGCATACTTCCATCTGCGCAACATAAACCGACTCCGCCCCTTCCTCACTCCCCATGCTGCTGCCATCCTTGTTCATAGCCTCGTCACATCTAGGATTGATTATTGTAACTCTCTTCTCTTTGGTCTCCCTAACAAGTCCCTCTGTAAACTCCAAATCCTTCAGAATGCTGCAGCTCGGGTAGTAACTCGTACCCCCTCCAGGGAACATATCACCCCAGTCCTTCAACAGCTTCACTGGTTGCCCATAGAAACTAGAATAGTATTCAAAATTCTAGTTCTCACTTTCAAATGCATTTACAAGCTTGCCCCTCGCTATCTGTCTGCCCTGCTTCACATTGCCACCCCATCCCGAACTCTCAGATCTTCATCTTCCACCCATCTTATTGTTCCATCTGCCCGCCTTATCACCATGGGACACAGAGCTTTTACTTGCTCTGCTCCCCGTCTTTAGAATTCTCTTCACTTGTTTAGGTCAAACCTCAAAACTAATCTGTTTAAGTTGGCTTATTTGCTTTAGACCTATTGTTGTCTGATTATGTAAATAACTTTTTTAATTATTTGTTTTATTGTTTGTTTTTTATGGACTATGTAAGGTGACCTTGGGTTTTAGAAAAGCACCCACAAATAAAATGCATTATTATTATTATTATTATTATTATTATTCACGGCTCTCTGGCCTGATTCTCCGCTCGCCCGACACGGAGTGTGACAATTATAATTCTGGTTTTCAGTTTCATCAGTTTACTTTCTGTTACTTAACCGTTGTCCTACTCTCTGACACATACAGCTGTTACCAAATCGGTTGATGCAGCCATTTTGTGATGACCGAGGTGAAATTAGTTTTAGGTTGGATATTTGACAGATATTCGGTTCCACACTCTCCAGAACTTGTGGCGGTGTTTCACTCACGCCGGCATTAGCGGTCGAAAGACGCCTACTACAATTCCACAGCCGCACATATGATCGCCTACAGCTGATTTAGGGGCCGTCAACAACTTACTGTCTGAATAACAAAATACTTGCAATAAATGCTTGCAATAACTTCCGTGCCATGGGATCCAGTGATGTCAAAATTGGTGCAAGTTGTAGTACTACTCGAGATGCACAGGACACAGCAAAGCCAGCTATGTCACCCAGTTTTCCTATCGAGTATTCCTAATGTCAGTAAATGCAGTGCACTACAGTACACAGTATGGTACATGCATCACAAAATAGGCTGCATCAACCGAATTAGTAACAGCTGTATCAGAAAGTAAGTGAAATTGAAAAGAAAAATTATGTTTTTTAAAATATTTATCTGAAATATGCCTTCATATATATTGCAAAAAAAAAAAAAAGCTGAGATAAAACAATAAAATAAAATGAGACTGTGACGACTGCGTGTGGGCGAGTGGGGAAACAGGCGAGAGAGACGTAAATACGACAAAACAGGGTTTATTTAGGTCTGACAGCACACATGGGAGCACACAGCAAAACCATGTCAATGACAAACCTGTGGCCTGTACTACGAAGCCGGGTTACTGGCTTATCGGGGTAACTTGTTAGATTTAAGATAGTCTGGGCAAAATGTAAGTGAGCGAATATGAAGTCCATTTAAACTGTGGTACCTTAAATCCGACAAGTTGCCCCGATAAGCCAGTAACCCCGCTTCGTAGTACAGGCCACTGGGGAAACAGACTTGAACACGGACTGAAATACACAAGACAAGCTGAAATAACAGGAAACAGGTGATCACAATCTGGGTAGCACGCGTAGGTAATGAGGGGGCGTGGCACACACGAGGATCGTACAAGCTGGGCGTGACAGAAACGTGGAAACAAAATCCAACATTGGCTACATGTTTTGGAGCTCAGAAATACCCTTTCTCATAGCCACCTATATTTTTTTCAAATGTTGATTTTAAAATTACGAGGAGTTCTTCCCTGCCAGAACTCCTCAGACAACACTAAGAAATACAAATAAGATCACAGAATGACAATCCTGAATGGCGATGTCTTGAAAAAGTTATAATAACATTAAGGCAAATGCATAGAGGGCTCGTTCCCGTGAACGGGAACTACTGTACAGTGGTACTTCAGTTCTCGAACTCATTAGAACTCGAATTTCTTAAAAGTCGAACCAACCAGTGCGAAAAAAAATTACCTAGAGCTCGATCTGAATCTCAGAAGTAAAACCTCGAACGCCGACCTAAGATAACTTGTACGCACGGGGAATGAGTCACGTGGCACGTCTCTCAGTGGAAACAAAGTGTAAAGCTTCAGTCTTAGTCTACCATTAGCTGTGATAGCATCGTGCATGTTTACACTAACTGAATACATATATTTAGACAGTAAAAATACATTTAGACAATGATAGACAGTAACAGTAATTATTATATAATAAAATACATTTAAAAATAAAGATTTCTTATTCATTATTTTAATATTAATAATAAACCATTAATACATTTAATTATAATAATATTGTTGTGCTTCGCGAGGACGGAACGGAGACAAAGGCGCAGATGTCAGGGTATTGGGGAATATTGGGTTTAATTACAGGTAAGGCAGGCAAAACGCAGACGGACAATACAATGACCGGACTGGGGAAACAAACTGAAACGCGGATGAAATACAGAGGACTAATGACAACAACCAGAGACAGCTGATCACACGGGGATTACACACGGGGTTAACAAGGGGGCGTGGCACACGGAAGCAGCGGACAATCGGGGCAGGACACATTGTTTGGATACATTTATTTTCTTACTTTACAAATTACTGTTTCGATAAATGTGCTTGATAGATGTGTTTAGTACAGTATATGTTCTTCTTGTTTTATCCGGTGTCATGCCCAGCTCAATACGATCCTTGTGTGTGCCACGCCCACCTCGTTACCTCGTGTTTATGCCTGATTGTTTTCAACTGTTGCTCATTAAACTCAGTTTGTCTTGTGTATTTAGTCCTCGTCTGAGTCAGTCTTCCCCAGACTTGTCATTAATGTTTGCTGTCGTGCTTCCCCAGTCCTGTTTCCACGGAATAAATTCCTCGTCTCACCCGACTTCCTGGCTCCTCTCCCCTGCTTGCCGGTTCGCCGGTGCCCGATCGTGACATCCGGTCCATATTTACATATTTAGGTGTAATTTTTTGGGGCAGGGAACCAATTAATTGGTTTTCCATTATTTCTTATGGGGAAAATTTGATCACAACTCGAACTAAAATTCGATTAAATTCGAGTTCTGAAATACCACTGTATATATATTCATTCCGAACAACAGCACCTAGAGTCACAGAATACAATGGCCACAAAATGTTACAACAGAACAGAACGTAAGGGGTCGTAAAAAATAATAGTTTATTTCTGGAAATTAACAAATCCTCCTGTGAAACCCCCAGTGTTCTAAGGGAACATAATTAGCTGCTTTGTTTGTCATCGCTTGACAATGCTACACATGAGACTCAGGGGCCGGTTGCACAAAACACCTTAAGATTTTCCTTAAAGTCCGAGTTAAGGTCTCCTTAAAATAAAGTCGGTTGCACAAAACATCCTTAAGTCTCCTCCTTAAGGTTTCCTTAAAAATTTCTTAAGTATTTAAGTTTTTCTCCTTATCTTGGTCTTACACTTAAGGAATCCCTTAACGGTTACACAAAAGACCTTAGAAACCAAACTAAGGGAAAAAAATTAAGGTACCTCTAACCGTACCTTAACTGCAACATGGCCGAGTTTATTATAAATAATAACGAAAATGAACGCATCCTAAAAAGTTTCCACGACCAGGAGAACCCCTTAGATTCGATTTGATTTTGCTTTATAAATTTGACCGGCAGTCAATTGATGATTTGTCCGATCGTCTACAGTTGGATTACTCCACAATCCGAAGCTGTGCTCTCCCAGCTGCGTTGCTCTGCGGTTTTATGCTATGGGCTCGTTCCAAGCTGTAAATCCCTTTTGGAACTCAGAAATACCCTTTCTCGTAGCCACCTGTATGACAATACTTAAGGGGAAAACTTAAGGTGTTTTGTGCAACCGACCCCTGGTTTTCAAACCAATTTCTAAGAATAAAAACCACTCCTAATCAGACCACATTCATCTTGGGTTTCATCGCATTGCAGACCTTTACGTTTACAAACCAACCATCTAAATCAATTACTGTACCTTTATTTCTCTTTTGATTTACTATATCTGCCGATAGTGGGGGCTGTTGGTTTTTCTCACTACATTTTTTACAGATTTCCATGTATTTTTGTTATTAGAGGTCCAAGAATAGAATAACAGATAGTTATTCTATTCTTTATTCTATAAATAATAGAACCCTATTGTTTTTATCATTAATCCCTGCTGAAAAAACAGCATAGAACAGCAGAGCTGGTTACCAGCAGGACCAGCATAATGCCTGCTGGTTACACCAACATATGCTGTGTTTTCGCGCTGGTGGACCAACATCATTAATTAAATATTGCTGTTGCGACAGCGGTGGCCTAATGGTTAGGGAAACATGCTCATGATTGAAATGTTGCTGGTTCAAATCTCTGATCTGCAAGGTACTGCTCCGTGGGTGGTGAATTAGCTGCCCACTGTTATGTCACAAATGGGTTAAAGGCAAAGAACACATTTTGTTGAGTCTATGCTGTTTTTTTCATCTGGTTATTATTATTGTAGCACCGATGAGATGGCTCCATATAGCGGAGTCTTCCCGGCATGCTTGTGAGCCTTGTCCATAGCCTCTGTGTTATGTGCCATTGTAAATACTTGAAGTGTTCCCAATTGGCAGCTTGGGGAGACCTGCGACTTGCACATCGACAGCCTGGCGGATGGGACTCCTGCTGAGCCTTGATGGAACGGGGGTCCATCACCACCCTGATTGCCCAGACATGGTGCCAGCCGGCTGGGAAGTGATGGACATCCAGCTGACTTAAGTGACGGCATTGTGCACAGCTATGAGGGGGAAAAGACAGCTGGGAATCATGCTGGCAGGACACACAGTGGTGCAGGAGGTCTGGCTGGCCGACATCGTCGACCCCTGCGGTGTCTAGTCTAGGCTAATGATGGACCTGCCAGGTGGAGAAACAGGACAAGCTCAGGACTCCTCTGAACTCATTCCGGGACATCTTCGCTGCCTGGAACAGAGGTTGCCAGCCCACTTCCCTGGTGCAGCAAAACATCAACATAGGAGATGCCCCACTCATCTGCCTGTGTCCGCACCATCTGCCCCTGGTGAAGCAGCACAGTAGCAGATCCAGGAGGTGGGAGTCATTGAGCCAGTGGGTGACTCTTCATCACGAGCTCCTCAAGGAGGACGGTTCTTGGTGTTTTGGTGTCAATTACCAATGACTGAATGCAGTGTCGAGGAAGGACTCTTCTCCACTGCCATGCATCCATGAGTGTGTTATCTATCTCATGATCTGCTAATCCATGTCACTGACTTCGTTGGGGCAGTGTGGAACCTAAAAACTGAACCCCGAGAAGTGTTCCCTACTCTGGCAAGACAGACTTCCTGGACTACCTGATCAGCAGGGAGGACATGGCCAGCGACCCATAAAAAACTGTGGCTGTGCAAGACAGGCCAGGTCTGTGGACTGTGGCAAAGCTGCATAGCTTCCTTGGGCTAGGCTCATATTACCAATGCTTTGTAAAAGACTTTCTTTG